ACAGTGTTTTATAGTTTTCTTTGTATAGGTCCTTTACCTCTTTTGTTAGATTTATTCCCAAGTATTTGATTGTTTTTTGTTTCGATGGTATTTTTTGATTTCTTCTTGTTCAGATTTATTGTTTGTGTATAGGAAGGCTACTGACTTTTGCGTGTTGATTTTGTATCCTGCCACTTTACTGAACTGATTGATGAGTTGAATTAGTTTTTCTGTGGAGTTTTTGGGGTTCTCTATGTATATTATCATATCATCTGCAAATAGTGATAGTTTGACTTCCTCTTTTCCTATTTGGATTCCTTGTATGTCTTTCTCTTGTCTTATTGCTCTGGCTAGGACTTCCAGTATTATATTGAAAAGCAGTGGTGAGAGTGGACATCCTTGTCTTGTTCCAGATCTTAATGGAAATGCTTTCAACTTTTCACCACTGAGAATGATACTGGCTGTTGGCTAGTCATATATGGCCTTTATGATGTTGAGGTTATGTTCCTTGTATCCCAAGAATTTCAAGGGCTTTTATCATGAATGGGTGTTGCACTTTGTCAAAAGCTTTCTCAGCATCTATTGATATTATCATATGTTTTTTATATTTCTTGTTGTTGATGTGTTGGATAACATTGATTGATTTTCGGATGTTGAACCATCCTTGTGTCCCTGGCATGAATCCTACTTGGTCGTGGTGAATTATCTTATGGATACATTGTTGGATTCTGATAGCTAAAATTTTATTGAGGATTTTTGCATCAGTGTTCATTAGGGAGATTGGCCTGTCGTTTTCCTTGTGTTGTCCTTATTTGGTTTTGGTATTAGTGTAATGTTGGCTTCAAGAACGTGTTTGGTATTGTCCCTTCCTTCTCAATTTTTTGGAAGAGTTTGTGAAGGATAGGCATTAATTCCTCTCTGAATGTTTGGTAGAATTCATTTGTAAATCCATCAGGTACTGGGCTTTTGTTTTTGGGGAGATTTTTGATTACCATTTCAATTTCGCTGCTTGTAATTGGTCTGTTTAGGTGTTCTACTTCTTCTCTATCTAGCTTTGGATGATTGTAGAGTTGTAGGAATTTGTCCATCTCCTCTAGATTGTTGAACTTGTTTCCATATAACTGTTCATAGTAGTTACTGATTATTGTTTTGATTTCTGCTGCGTCCGTTGTGATTTCTCCTCTTTCATTTATGATCCTGTTTATTTGTGCTTTCTCCCTTTTTTCCTGTGTGAGCCTGGCTAGGGGTTTGTCTATTTTATTGATTTTTTTGAAGAACCAGCTCTTGGTTTCATTGATCTTTTGGATTGTTTTTTTAGTTTCAATTTCATTTATTTCTGCTTTGGTTTTTATTATTTCTTTTCTTCTACTGGTTTTGGGGTTTTTTTGTTGTTCTTTTTCTAGATCTTTGAGCTTCAAGATTAGGTTGTTTCTTTGAGTTCTTTCTTGTTTCTTGATGTGAGCCTCTATTGCTATATATTTTCCTCTTATTACTGCTTTTGCAGCATCCCATACATTTAGGAAATTGGTGTCCTCATTGTCATTCAATTCAAAGAATTTTTTAATTTCTTCTTTGATATCCTCATTAGTCCAGTGGTCTTCCAGTAGTGTGGTTTTCAATCTCCAAGAGGTAGGAGAGTTCCTTGCCTTCTTTTTATGGTTTATTTCTAGTTTGATGCCTTCATGGTCAGAAAAGATGGTTGGTATGATTTCAATCTTGGTGTATCTGTTGATGTTTGTCTTGTGTCCCAGTATGTGATCGATCCTAGAGAATGATCCGTGTGCACTTGAGAAAAATGTGTACTCCGTTTTTTTTTGGGTTTAGTGTTCTATAGACGTCTGTTAAGCCCAAGCACTCTAGGTCCTTATTTAGAGCTTTAGTTTCTTTACTTATTTTTTGTCTCGTTGATCTATTCATTGTTGTTAGTGGTGTGTTGAAATCTCCCACTATGTATGTGTTTTCTCTGATGTCTGTTTTCAGAGATGACAATAGTTGTCTGATATATTTTGGTGCTCCTTCGTTTGGTGAATATATGTTAATGAGTGTTATTTCTTCTTGAAGTATTGTCCCCTTGATCATAATGTAGTGACCTTTGGGGTCTCTTTTTACCTTTTTGAGTTTGAAATCTGTTTTATCTGATATAAGTATAGCTGTTCCTGCTTTCTTTTTTGGTCCATTTGCTTGTAGGATTGTTTTCCATCCTTTAACTTTGAATCTATTTTTATCTTTTGTAGCTAAATGTGTTTCCTGGCGACAGCAAAAGGTTGGGTTTTGTTTCTTAATCCAGCCTGTGACTCTGTGTCTTTTTATTAAAGAGTTTAGTCCATTTACATTTAGAGTTAATATTGATATGTTAGCATCTGTATTTGCCATTGTGTTTGTCTTTCCTTTGATTTTATTCATTTATTCTTTTAATAACTTTTTTTTGGCCTTCTTTCATTGTTATTCATCCCTCTGAGGTTCTGGCTTTAGGACTCCTTGTAGTATTTTTTGGAGTGGGGGTTTAGTCGTAATGAAATTCCAAAGTTTCTGTTTGTCTTGGAAGGTCCTTATTCTTTCTTCATAGAGGAAGGAGAGCTTTGCAGGATAGAGTATTCTTGGTTGGCATCTGTTTTCTTGGAGTCTGTTGACTATGTCCCTCCATTCTCTCCTTGACCGTAGTGTTTCTTCGGAGAAGTCTGATGTCAGCCTGATTGGTTTTCCTTTGTATGTTATCTGTTTCTTCCCTCTTGTCAGTTTCATTATTTTTTCCTTGTCCTGGATTCTTGGAAGCTTTACTGTTATGTGTCTTGCTGTTTTTTCCCTCTCGTCGTGGAAGTTTGGTGTTCTTCTTGTTTCTTGTATATCAATTTTCATCTCCTTCTCCACGTTTGGGAAGTTCTCTTCATTTATCTCCTTGAATATTTTCTCTGTTCCTACATCTCTCTCCTCTCCTTCTGGTATTCCTATAACTCTTATATTTCCTTTCCTCATGGTGTCAGATAGTTCCCAAAGTCTTTCTTCTGTCTTTTTCCTTCGTACTTCTCTTTCCTTTTCTGTTTTGGTTCTTTTTATTTCTGTGTCTTCAAGAGTGCTTATTCGTTCTTCCATTTCATCTATTCTGCTTTCATTGCTTTTGCCAGAGTTCTTTAGTGCCTCCACTAATTCTTTGATCTCCTGCATTTCTTTTAGATCTTGATCTCCTAAATTTCTTTTACATCTCCTGCATTCTTTGATCTCCTGCATTTCCCTCTTAGGGACTCAATTTCATTCATCTGATCATTGATTATTTTCCCCTTATCATTGTTTTATTTATGACTTCTGTCATTTTTTTAATCATTGCAATTTTAAATTTTCTTTCTGGAAGGCTCAGAAGTTCTTCCAAGTTACTGTTGTTGCAATCTGGGGGGTGGTTTTCTTTTTATGGTGTGCTTTTTTCCTGAGGAGTTGCTATGTTGTGTGTGGTTCTTCTACTCCCTACTGTCTGTTTTCTAATTTGCCATATGCATTGGGACACTGTGTTGCTGGGACTGGCCGGCATCTTGGGTGAACTTCTCCGCTCCCCTCTGGCTCCTCCGGGAGCCATCTGTCGGTTTCAAGCAGTCTTTACTGGAGAAATGTCCCTGTTCTAAAATGTTGATGTGGGATGCACTCCCTGTGTGCCTGGTCTGCCCCGGTGGTGGGTTCCCGTTCCACCTCTGGGCTTGGACTGCAGGCCAGAAGGGGCCTGGCGTGGGCGAACTTCCCAGCTCACTTCTGGCTCCTCCGGGAGCCTTCTGCTCGTTTCAGGCAGTCTTTACTGGAGATATGTCCCTGTTCTAAAATGGTGATGCAGGACGCACCCCCTGTGCGCCCGGTCTCGGGCACACTCTTCTCCGCGCCCGGTCTGCCCCAGCGTGGGTGCCCTCTCCTCCTCTGGGCTTGGATTGCTGGTCAGAAGAGCCCTGGCATAGGCAAACTTCCCAGCTCACCACTGGCTCCTCAGGTAGCCTTCTGCCGGTTTCAAGCAGTCTTTTCTGAAGAAAGGTCCCTGTTCTATGGGGTGTTGGTGATTTTTTTTTCTGGTCGCTAGGTGGCGCCAGAGATCTCTCCTAGTGTCCTTGGGGAGCTGTTTTTTTTTCACCCCATGGGACAGGGAACAGAGTGGGGGAAAGCCTCAACGGTTTTGGGGTGCTGTGTCTACCTTGTGCCCCACCATCGAGGGGAACCCACACCCCAATTTTCGTGCCCTGGGTCTCAGTTCCAAAACCCTCAGGTCCAGGACGCGGGCTGTAGCCCAGTTCAGTGTCCGCAGAAATGGCGCCTTTTGCACCCCACTCCTGTGCCTGGGCACCTAGTTTCTGATTACTCAGTGAGGGACATTCACCTCAGTAAGGGCCCCCACGCGTCTCCCCTCAAGCCTAGGTCACAGGTGCGGGGACCTGGGCAGCTGCGTTCCTCGTTTGCTTTTCAAGCGTGCCGCTTTTCCACGCAAGCTTACGGGCTGGCCTGGGGCTGTGTGTAGGTCTCCAGAGTGTTCTCTAATGGCGCCTGGAGCCATTCGCTCACCTCCGCGGCGAATCCTGCAGGGTTCTCCACAGCTCCAGTTCACGGGGTGTGGTGGCTGAAATAGTTCCTTTCCACTCACAGTCCCGCTTGCTGCGTAGTTTGTTCTTGTTGGTCGTTTTAGTTTTTTGTTTTTTCCTCCTTCCCATTGGTCGGAGAGTGCCGACTTTGTGGTTGGGGGAGGGTAGCAGGGTTCTGAGCTTTCCTTCCTTCTAATCCTCTTTAATGGCAGCTTTCTTCTTCGGGTAGTTTGCTGGAGTCGTCTGTTTATCTTCCGTGTCCCAGTTCTCACTGGGACCTGCCGCTTTTCCTCCCTATTAACTTTTTTTAATGGGAGATTTTACTCGCAGCGTTTCCTCACCGCCATGTAGATCTGTCCCCCACCCTTGGGAAATTACCTCAGAGACTGGACTGCTCAAGTGGTTATCTTTTTTTTTTTTTTACTTTTTAAATTTTTTTTTTATTTTTTTAAAGATTTTATTTATTTATATAAGCACTGGGTACAGTCAGAAGCATGGAAGGGTAAGAGAATTCACCAGAGCCAGAGCGGGGAACAGAACAGGCAGACTGACAAAATACACTGCTGAGGGGAGCAGTGTTTGCTGCAGGAGAGGTCTGCGTGCCATGTGGGACCCTCGCCTGGTGGCCGGGGATGGAACCGGCGCTGCAGAGGCTGCGGCAGCTTCGCAACCCAATGCTCAACTGCTGCGCCACCGGGGAGGCCCCTCATTGTTCATTTTTAAACAATATTTGCTTCCCTCCACCCCCTCAGTTGTAGTCCCCATATAATTTCCATCACCAATGCGTCCATGCACAGATCACCACCGTTCCTTTGTAGGGTAAATGATTTTCAAGCTTATCTACCCTCCACCATTAGGATTCCCCTGCCTGATGGGGCACCTGCATTTGTTACATTGGTTTTATTTTTTTTAATTTTTTTTTAAATACAAGCACTGGGTACAGTCAGAAGCATGGGAGGGTGAGAGAATTCACTAGAGCCAGAGCGGGGTACAGAACAGGCAGATCGACGAAGTACACTGCTGAGGGGAGCAGCGGGGGGCAGGAGAGGTCTGGGTGCCATGTGGGACCCTCGCCCAGCAGCCACGGCGCTGCAGAGGCTGCGGGCAGCTTCACAACCCAGCGCTCAACCACTGCACCACCGGGGAGGCCAGTGTTTTTTTTTTTTTTTTTAAAAGATTTATTTATTTACACAATAACCGGGACAGGCCAGATGCGTGGGAGGGTGAGAGGATTCACCAGAGACAGAGCGGGGAACAGAATAGGCAGACTGACGAAATACACTGCTGAGGAGAGCAGCGGGAGCAACAGAGAGGTCTGCCGTGCCATGTGGGACCCTCGCCAGCCAGCTGGGATTGAACACGTGCTGCAGAGGCTGTGGACAGTTTCACAGCATGGTGCTCAATCGCCTGCACCACCAGGGGAGGCCCTGTTACAGTTATAAGTTATGTTGTTTACTTCTATGGGCCATGGCTGGAGTATTGAGATATTCACCAAGACAAGCAGAAGCTGGAGAAAGAATGGGACAGAACAGGAGAAAGAATGCCAGAAGCCCAGAGTGAAGACTTGCCTGGGGCTTGGATGGCTATGGGCCTCCTGGTCTCCCTGCCTTCCGTGTACCTGGTTGCTGCACTACATGTAAAAGCGCAATAAAAGCCTGAGAAAGACACCAATGGCTCAAGACTCTCCTTTACCCGGTCTGCCCCAATCATAGATATCCTGCTCTGCGGCCTTCCTGCTCCTACATTTTTGCACTCCATACAACTGATAAGGTACTGATCACAAAGATATACAAAGAACTCACATTACTCTAACAAAAACAAAGTAAACAAACCTGTCATGAAATGGGCAGAAGAAATTAAAAGACATTTCTCCAAAGAGGAAATGCAAATGGCCAACAGGCATATAAAAATATCTTCCACATCCCTTATAATCAGGGAAATGCAAATCAAAACCACACTGAGAACCATCTTACACCAGTAAGAATGGCACATATCAAAAAAACAGCAACAACAAATGATGGCGAGGATGTGGTGAAAATGGAACTCTCCTACATTGCTGGCGGGAGTGCAAACTGGTCCAACCACAATGGAAAGCTGTCTGGAGGTTCCTCAGTCTACTAAAAATGGAGCTACCATATGATCCAGCAATTCCACTCTTAGGGATCTACCTAAAGGACACAAAAACATTGATTCCAAAGGACACCTGCACCCCTTGTTTATTGCAGCATTGTTTACAATAGGTAAGCTATGGACACAACCCAAATGTCAAAAAACAGGTTATCTGACTGCAACTTTGTTTAGATAAGAGTGCTGAGGCCCTGGCCATGAATCTTTAAAGGGAAAGAGCTGTAAGTAAGCAAACTTGTTAATTATGCCTGCATTGGAGTGTTCATTGCACCTGGGCTGGAAGTTCTGCTGGAATCTTTATTATATTCATTTACTCAATAATATATTTTCTCATCACCTCGACCAGCTTGATACCTGGCCAATTTCTTTGCATGAGAGTGAGTATAAGGGGACAGAGAGAGCTGGGGGTACTCTTCATTGGCACATATGCCACCTGGGAGGTGGGGAGAGGGTGACAAAAAGCTTCTACCGTACCAAAAAAGTAGCCATTGATAATGTGTCCTGGCAGTAATCAGATGCACTATGCAAGAACAAATAAAAAGGAGCCGGATTGTTTAGCCATATCACAACAGCTAGATTTAACCTTCAACACTAAATACAGGGAGAGGCAGTACCCCAGAGGACTGGTTTCTCAATGCCCCCTAGTGGCTCATTGACACATTACATGCTCCTTAGAGCTCACCTGCCAAACATCTGAAGGCACAATATTCAAAGATGCTAGATCTAGCCTGAACCCAAATCCTAGGGTTAAAAACAGAGGGTATCCAATTGGCCAGAAACAACACACAAGAAACTGATGATTCCAGTTCTGAGGAAAGGCTCTGATGATTATTTTAGCAAGTTGCCAGAGATGCTTGAGGTCCCACTAGCCTGACAGATTTGTCAGATGCTCCAAATGGCCCAGAGATGAGGGAGGTCTAGCAGAGGTGGGCTATAGAGAAAGTTGTGAAAGGGGGAAGAGCAAAGTCATAGGGCATAAGAGAAGGGGGTTAGAAAGTCTAAAAACAGCAAATATCGGCTTCTAAAAACAGGCTTTTGGACTAGTGGGCTAGTATGATGACTCTCCCAGCCGGTCCTTGACTTGAAGAGAAAGGCAGTCAAAATCAAAATAAACTGGTTTGCAAGGTTATGGTAAAATTAAAAACACCAAAGCTTCTATATAGGACTATGGCTAAAGCAGGAAGGGTGCCTGGAAATTAAGATGTTTTTCTCTGCAGATTTTCTAAAAAGCAATAAATTCATTGATAAAAAATATTTGCAAGAAATGGCATTTGCAAAGCATGAATAATTTTTTGTTACAAACAGGCCCACTTGGTTGGCCAAATATACCCTTTTTCAAATCTCATATAACGCTAGCAAGTTAAAACTTGGAACAGCTGTTATCTTCCTGGGTTTTCTGTTGGCATCTTGAGCTGAGCAGTTAGGAATGAGAGTGCCTTCTCCAGCCCTGCCCCACCCTCTTACACCCTCTTCATCCCTTTCCCCATCAGGCAGGCAAACACTGTCATGACCATTTTGGGGTTCACTTCAACCAGGTCTTCTGGAAGGGCATATACTCTTGCACCAATTTTTCGGGCCATAGAGATGGCGTACCTAAAAGGAGAAAATAGGAACAATGAGGAGAGCCAGAGCAACAAAGTAGGAAGGGAACCCCTCAGGACCAAAGTTACAGTGGTTCTACATGTTATATGCTACACACTATACCCTACATATTACATACCACATGCTACAGTCACAGCACAAACTACACACTATATAATATGTACCAAACAGTATACACAAACAACATATTACATACTAAATATTATGCAGAGCCCACTCCCAGTGTAGCTGGAGCCAGTCACTGGCATCCACCACTCTTTTGGGTAAATCTTGGCTCACCAGATTTATTGTCTAATCTCATGATAATCACCGATTTTATTATTTGTCCTCAGAGACCTTCTTAGTTCCTGCCACTTTTGACCCAAACACCACAACTATTTTCCTGAGCTATATATCCACAGAAAGAGTCATAAAACTGACTAAAAATTTGTGCTAGGAAAGTTACAGACTGTATTTCAACTATAGAAACATTTTATGCAAGGAAGAAAAGAGGAGAAATGCATCTGTACTACCTTGGCCTTACATATCAGTTCTTTTATTCCTCGCCCCACTCCATCTTTGTGAACATAAATGTGCATTTATGTAACTACAGTATTAGAATAGCCAGGTTTTTACATTATACATTTTTCATATAAAGTTACCATAGCTGCATCAGAACATGTTTGCCCTATTTATAGTTACAGGTCTATAACTTTTATTAGTTATAATCTATTTTCAAATGAGCCCACAGTATCACCTGACAGATCTTTTATTCACCTCGTCTATTATCTAGTAACCTCTTATAGTGACTACTTCAGGGTTCCCACTTTCACCCAAGCTCCCATTACTCCTCCTGATCTCCTAAAATAATCTTGCTCTTACTTTATTGATCAAATTAAAGTAAGCACACCAGGTGGGAGTGGTCCATATTCTTTCTCCTTGTCTATCTCTCAATCACTTCCTTTGTATTACTAAGGAAATAAAAATTTACTTTTCTATTATTAAAAAAAAAGAGAAAAAATTGCCAAATGAGAAAAGAGAGCTTAAAAAAGTGATGTACAATCTTGTCACCATAACATAACCATTTGTAACATTTTGGTTTTTTTTTTAAAGATTTATTTATTTTTATACAAGAGCTGGGGTACAGGCCAGAGGCGGAGGAGGGTGAGAGGATTCACCAGAGACAGAGCAGGGAGCAGAACAGGCAGATGACCGAAACACACTGCTGAGGGGAGCAGCAGGCACAAGAGAGATCTGTCACACCATGTGGGTATCTTCCTGGCTGGCTGAGAATCGATCCCACACTGCAGAGGCTGCAGACAGCTTTACAGCACTGCGCTTAACCCGCTGTGCCACCAGGGAGGCCCCTACCATTTGTAACATTTTGCATAATTTCCTTTATCCATTTTTCTAAGTAATTTTCTGTCTTGCCCTTACAAGATAGTGCTTATAGGCCTGGGCTCTGAAGTCAGAATTTGAATCCCAGCTGAATTACTAGGACCCTGGGCATTGTGCTTAAACCTAATGACATGCTTCTTGACCATCTACACTCAAGGACTTTTCAATGTCTTTTTTGTTTTAAATTTATTGGTCTTTGTACACACTCTTCTTTCTACCTGGAATATTCTTCCTATCTCCTTCACCTATCTACCTCCTTTTTTATTTTTTTAAAGATTTATTTATTTATTTATGCAAGCACTGGGTATAGTCAGAAGTGCGGGAGGGTGAGAGAATTCACCAGAGCCAGAGCGGGGAGCAGAGCAGGCAGAAGGACCGAAGTACACTGCTGAGGGGAGCAGCAGGGGGCAGGAGAGGTCTGCGCGCCATGTGGGACCCTCTCCTGGCAGCCGGGGATTGAACCGGTGCTGCTGAGGCTGCACGCTGCTTTGCAGCCCAGTGCTCAACCGCTGCGCCACCAGGGGAGGCCCTATCTACCTCCTTTTTACTTGGTCTTGCAGTCTATCTCAGCTTAGATGTCACTTGCTCTGTAGGATTTCAGTTCCTTTCCTATCCCCTCGATGGTACCGGATAGCCCCCTTTCCATGTCACCACCCCATCATACTCCATTATAATTGCCATTTAATTGTTTATCTTCTCTTGAAGAGACTGTGCTAAGCATCAGTATACCAGGAACACAGGTCTTCACTCTCCCAAACTGGAAACATAGAGAAGAGCATGGTTGGGTTTATATATATAACAAGGCACTAGTCACTTGCTAATTTTGTGTTATGTGTTGAATTGTGCCCCTTAATAAGATATTTGGAAGTCTGAATTCCTCAGATAGAACCCTGATTTTGAACAAGGTTGTTTCAGAAGTAACTAGTTAAGATGAGATCATGCAGGAGTAGTGTGACTGGAGTCCTTGTAAGAATAAAAGAAACACAGACACACATGCAGAGAAAAGTCAGTCATGTGACATCACAGACACACAGGGAGAAGATACATGAAGATGGGGAAGAGACTGGGGTGATGCATCCATAAGCCAAGGACTGCTTGCCAGAAGGTAGGAGAGAGATGTGGGATATTCTCCCTCACAGCCCTTTGAAGGAATCAACCTGACCCTTGATTTCAGGCATGTAGACTTCATAGTCAGAAGAGAATAAAATTCTGTGGTTTTAAGATGCTCTGTTCATAGTATTTTGTTACAGCAGTCCTAGGAAGCTGATGCATTCCACTGAGAAAGGCATCTTTCTACGGTAGAGGCTGGCAAACTTGCTGTGAGGGGCCAATAATAACATTTCAGATTTTGTGGGTTTTGTCACAACTCAACTCTGTCTTGTTAGCAGGAAGGCAACTACAGAAGTTATATATCTATATATCTATAAATACATATATATATATATATAAATGAATGGGCATATCTGTGTTTCAATAAAAATTTATGAAAGCAGACAAAAGGTCAATTTGGCTCAGAGTCTATAGTCTGCTGACTCTCAGTCTACACAGTCAAGCAAATGGCAGCTGCTGTCAGGCAGAGGAAGACTGTGGTCTTGAACCCACCTCTGCCCACTCATATTCATGGATATTCACAAATGGAGTGTTTGTATTTGGGTCTTTCACATACAAACTTTATTTAGGAAGTCTCTTAAATATTATGATTAGTATATTGCAACTATATTCTTGCTTTTTGTCTTGTTCACATTCTAACACTAGGAGCCTTGCGTGGCTATTGTGTGATATCTAAAGTAGTGACAAAGAGACACAGTAAGTGATGAGAAGAGAAAGCACTAATGGGAAGAGTAAACTCTTTGCACAAAGGTATAAGCAGTCATGCGGCTGTCAGTTATTTCCCTCCCTCCCTGACCTCAGGCTTATTTACGTACTTCGCATTGTTGAGTTTCTCTTCATCATTCAAGCTTTCTGTCTTCAAAAGGTCATAGTTAATAGAACCTGGTTGAATGGCATCAATGAGATCTAGGACTGGCAGACTTGTACTAATCTTTGGATCCTGCAGAGAAAGAAAGGGAAGGTTTTGTTAACATGCCCCAAGTTATTTCTATTCAACTCAAGGGATGTGGGTGGTTGTTTTATCTTAAATATGAAACATATACAGCCTGGTTTGGGAAGTGCCACAGTGTACCACATCAACTGTAGTTTTTGTAGGGGCATCACTAACTTCCTGGTGACTCACTGAACAGAGAAAATCCACTGTCCACTAACAGGCAGGGAGTCACTCTCAAATAGGGAATGGAAGGAAGTTAGTGCAATTGGAGAAAAACAGAGAAATTGATATATATCGTGTCTAACTTACCAACTGGTAACATAGTAGAGATGGGGGGATTTGAAAAGGAAATGATCAGCAAAGGGAGACTAAAACTATTACAAGAAGCCCTGCTTTATGTGTGTGTGTTGGGGGGGGGCTAGAAGTGATGGGCAAGGTTAGAAATGAGGGCTCAGCTGGACAGAAGCTTTAGTAGATGCTCCTATCTTAGAGACCTCAGGTAAAGAAAAGAATCCCCAGGCTCATAGAGATGGTGAAGCCAATTACGTGACTAAGTGACAGCAATTAGTCTTTGTTGGTGCCTCAGTTTGCCCAGCGCTTTCTCCTAGGTTATCTTGTCACCACCCCTCAGGTGTAGGCATCTAATCTTAATTTATGGTGAGTCAAAGGAGTTTCTGAGGTTAAGGGACTTGCTGGTAAAGTCCCTAAGTTACCTAAAGCACTGGGATCTTTCTCTGGCATTTGTAAACATTTTGATGTTCACACCTAGAACTATGGGTGTTCCTAAGGTGTGATGATACCAAGCTCTGTGTCAGCTGTTCTCCTCTCTCCTGGGGACTTAGAGGGCAGAAATGGAAAGGCAACTGTCTGCCACCATCCCACACCCCATACTTTAAGGGTCCATCCAACCCTTAAATCGATTCTACTCAAGGAATGCAACTCTGGACCCCTGCAAGATGTTAAGTCTCTAGCATCTAGCATCTTCTGGATAGGCAGAATAACATTTAAGAATATATAATGGGTGGATTTTTATTTACTCCTGGGTCATGTAAGAACTACAAAATTAAAATCGGTCTAATTTTCACCATAATCCTGAGCTTCTATCTTCATAAAACTTTTTGGTGAAGAAGCACAGAAAAACAAAATGGGGGGTTGGATTTTGTCTCCTTTCCCAGTTTCTGCCAGTCTTGTGAAGGTGAAAACAGGCAGGGGAAATGATCAGCAAGTGGTGGCTGACCATAGATGAGAAAGGAACAGAGATTATTTCCAAAATGGTAAATCAAGAGTGGATTGTGTTAACTTTCTTAAGATTTCATTCTAAAGGAAGGTAGAGCTAACTCTGACATTTTATTTTTGTGATTCTTTTTATTTATTGATTCTATCTATAATGATCTAGTGAGAAAACAGGAGAAAACTGGCCTAGAGTGTCACAGTAGGTAAAAGAATTGTCAAACATTCTCATGAGTGAGTTCCCATGAGAACATTCCAGAAAATGCAGGGTGACAATATGGACAGCAGTGGGAGCTGTTTTACAGGGACACACACTGGGCTTTGGCTATTTGACCTGTCACTGTGTAGTCATGGTTATGTGACCGGATGGACACGCTTTGCCCTACAGCCTCACCCTGCAGGTAATAGGCGCTCTCCCCTCACTGATGGACCATCACCTGCAATTACCAGTTGTAACCTCAGGAGTTACTTGAGCTCCAGTTGCCTCACCTATAAAAGGAGGAAAACAGCAAAACCAACTTCACAATGTCTGTGAAGGTGAATGTGACATTACAAATAAGGAGGTTCAGAGAGTGTTCAATATTGAGAACTCTTCACAGCATTTCCAAATATTTTTGGAAGTAGTTGCTCATATTTTTCACCAGCCTCTACTCCTAGCCCTGCTCAGCTACCCCTCACCATTCAGACTGAAAGGTAAGCTGGAGGGGACAGAGGAGGCTGTTTTATGAAGAGTTCCCAGGGGTGGGTACTTCTGGTGCAGATGAACCCAGAGATGCCTTCTCTCCTCTCTGGTTGAGGAGGAACTTTATTTTATTTTTTTTCTTGATTTTGAAGTAGAGGATTGATTTAATGAACTGCCTCACTGAGCCTGTTAATACAGTTCAGAAGGCGTCTCCCCCAACCCCACAGTGTTGACCTTTAAACCAGAAAAATGTAGTTAAATAAGCACAGCTATTTTACTATGGATCAAGTACACAGGTACCTTGAGGAAAGATCCATGCACTCTTTGAAATGTGTGTTAATAAGTTTAATAAAATTGAATGCCATTAATAAAAATTGGATTTGAATACAAGTACTCAACTATTTTTTTCTCAATAAACACCAGAGATCTTTCACCATTTTGTATTTCACCATTTTCCATTAAGAATCTGAATCACAGGGCTCTGCACACTTAAAAAATATTACATTTCATGTTACTTTGGAAAAACAATGCCTAAAATAATGTGTGAAAAATGATGGGTTCTAAAAATTATTTCAAGAGATAGTGAAGAAATTCGTCAATGAAATGACCTATGAACACCAAAACAATAATGGGTAACTCAGACAAAATCAAAATGGAAGGGGAAATCTCAGTACCTCACATGGAAGGTCACTTTCTAATAGAGTGAAAACCTAAGAATAAGTATAAAACTCAGGTTTTTATACTTATACTTACAAGCAACCTAAGAGTTTTACCTTGAAACTCGAGATGGATGAACTTTTCCCTGCTTCCTTCAATGTTTCATTCACCCAGTTGACAATAATGTCATCATTGACCTTCTGTCCACCTCCAATTTCTTCAAGAATATTCAGTGTGTACCTGAACAAAATCAAGAATGGTTTCTAGAAAAAAGTTGCTAAAGAATTCAATAGAGTACTTGAATTCATTCAATTCAGAGAGTAACCAGGGTAGAAATGTTTTTGTCTTTCTAGGCATGTCACAGAAGACAGTTTGGACAGCATAATGTTTGCTGAAAAAAGAATATATAATACATTAGTTTTGTTTAGAATAACTTAAAATGTAACTTTGTTAGAGTGAAATGCACAGCTAATACCTCCTTCTAAGCACTGTCATTGCTCTGGGTAGGAAGAAAAGGCGGAAGAGAAGAAAAGGAAGCAAAGGATTTGAATGAGTGATGCTTTTTCTTAAAGAAACCATAAAAGTCAAGGCACAATACAATGGCAGAGAAATCCTAGTAGTCAACATAATAAGGGACAAATATAAAAGAGTTTTCTTCTTTATATAATTAGAAATGTTAGGAATACATCAACCAAAGTTAAACTCTAGTTTGAGAGTAAATCGCCTTAGATATATACTTTTATTTATTTATTTTTTTTTTAAGATTTTTTTTTTTAATAGAGGCATGTTATTTATTTATTTATTTGTTTGTTTGTTTGTTTTGTTTACACATGCGCTGGGTACAGCCAGAAGCGCGGGAGGGTGAGAGAATTCACCAGAGCCAGAGAAGGGAGCAGAGCAGGCAGAAGGACCGAAGTACACTGCTGAGGGGAGCAGCGGGCGGCAGGAGAGGTCTGCGCGCCATGTGGGACCCTCCTCAGGTGGCCGGGGAGCAGCTGGGGATCGAACCGGCGCTGCAGAGGCTGCGGGCAGCTTCGCAACCCAGCGCTCAACCGCTGCGTCACCAGGGAGGCCCAGATATATACTTTTAGGAGTGTCAGGCATGCTGGGGAAACATTTACTAAGAGAAGACTCCAGGGCCTCCCCTGGTGGCGCAGCAGTTGAGCGCTGGGCGGCGAAGCTGCCTGCAGCCTCTGTAGCACCGGTTCGATCCCCAGCTGCAGGCGAGGGTCACACATGGTGCAACAGACCTCTCCTGCCGCGCCCGCTGCTCCCCTCAGCAGTGTATTTCAGTCAGTCTGCCTGTTCTGATCCCTGCTCTGGCTCTGGTGAATTCTCTCACCCTCCTGTGTTTCTGACTGTACCCAGTGCTTATATAAATAAATAAATAAATCTTTATTAAAAAAAAAAAAAAAAGAGGAGACTCCAAGCTCTTAAAAGTCCACAGAGCAGACAACACTCATCATTCCCTAAAGCTACTTCCAGCAAAAGGGGACTACAGAAAAGAAAGCCAAGCAGCTGGGCTGGGAAGGTTTGTTGGCCTCAGGCTTTGGGCTTGCAGGGCAGGGTCAGGTTACCCAGGAGAGACTCAGAGGGCTTGAGTTACAGTGTGCACTGTTGCACTGTTTACACTGCAACCTAAGTACTCTGCCACCGAATCCCTCTCCAAGGACCTACCTAAATGAGGTCGTTCCCACGGGTTGCCTAGGATTTTGCTTACATAACCCTTTGGTGACTTCCTCTAGTTACTCTTCTATGGCAAACACAATTCAGCCAGAATTTCCCACACAGTTTTCAAGTTTAATCCTTGAAATAGGAGTGCTGCCTTACCTCCTCTAGGGTGAAGCACCTTCGCATCATTGTAGCTGAGGAGGAAAACGACTTCTGCAACTTTTCTTTATCAAAATGATGATGATGATAATGATAATGTTTGCCAATCTGGCATCAACATTCTCTCAATTATAACTCTCCAAATATCCTATTAATTGGGTCCTCTTCATTCTGCTTCTCATCCTCACAGAATTTACCTTTTTCCCCCAAGATTTATTTATTTATGCATACAAGAGCTGGGGTGTAGGCCAGAGGTGCGGTGGTGAGAGGATTCACCAGAGACAGAGTAGGGAACAGAACAGGCAGGTTGATCGAAGTACACTGCTGAGGGGAGCAGTGGGCAAGACAGCAGAGGTCTGCTGCACCATGTGGGTTATCTCCCTGGCCAGCTGGCCCAGGAGTGAACTGTGCTGCAGTGGCTGGCAGTAGCTTGATAGCACTGTCTTTAACCCCTGCGCCACCAGGGAGGCCCAGAATTTACCCTTTTGAAGTACAATCCTGGTTATGTCTTTTAAAGTGACTCTACTTGGTCCAAAGAATACAGGTCAAACTCCTCAGGCATGCACAATTTGGTTCTAATGTCCCATTTCAATACACCACTGATTTCCTCCTTCCCTCCCTTCTTCTGGGACTTAACCTCACACCCCTCATGGACACACACACTCACATCTCAATGGTACAGAACCATCAGCAGCTCCGTGTCCACACTGCATGTCCTCCCACCTCCTGCCTCCCACCTCTGTGACTGTGCTCTCTGCCTGGGAAGTCCTACCTCTCTAGTGAATTTCTAATCCTTTGAACAATTCCCAGCTCAAGCATCATTTTTCTGATGTTAATCATTATTGTTTACTTGCTTCTAGCCTGTTTTCCTGAATTTTTGATAGAGCTGATGTGCATCTGCCTACCATGTCCCTCTGTCAAGTCCATACACCCAGTTCATCATGGTGTTTTCAGCGTTAGCAGGTGGCTAGAGAACATGGGGCATCTAGCAAATGAAAAACTAGAGTGGTGGGTAAAAGAAATAGAATTTCTCCCAGAAAAAGCAAGGAGAAAGTAGAGGGGAGAAATGCCTCATCTGGGCTCAGGGATGGGGCCACTAAGGAATGCTAAGGAATAATGAATACAACTGGGATATGTCCCAGATAGGTTTTTACAATAGTCCTACTTTGCAATAGGCCCTACTCTTAATGTGTAGGCCCTACTCTTAGATGAGGCTTTATGGCATAACTGGCTTCTTGCTTGCTGATAGTTTGCATATGTACTAAGTTATTAGCATTTTCTGTAACATTTAAGAATTTCTTATAAGAACTGAGGTGATTTGTGCATGGGTACATTGGTGAAGGAAACACTATGGGGACTACACCTGTGGGGGTGGGGGGAAGCAAATATTGTTTAAAAATGAACAATGATGTAAAAAATTTTTAAAAATTAATATATAAAATAAATAAAAATAAAAAAAGAATTTCTCATAAGAAACAATAAGCTAATGCTGTTTCAGTGGGTCATGTCTACATATAACCCAATGAAACAAACTAAATTCAGTCTAGCAGCTTCACACACCTCAGGACTGAATTGTCACTGCCTTTTGCCAAGGGTCCCAATCTGCCTTGCTGATACTCCCAAGTGAACAGAAACTGTGCTTTAGATCCACTTCTTGAGTTAGGGAAGGGAATGGTACAGAGGAGACGCTCATCTTTACACAAAAGTCTACTGTGAAAAACAAAAAAGCTGCAAAGGAGCAGGGAAACAGAAATGCAGAAAATCATGAAGGCAGCTTACTGACCGCCTGGAAGCCATTACTGCATCCAGGGGTCTGATGGCCCCACAGGGTGGCACAGAGTTCTATGAACACAAAGTTTTCTTTTTTGACACCTCAGGACTGATCCAGAGATTTAAAAGGAATCAGATACTTGCATGTAAGTACAATAGTAAAAACAAAGAGAAGAAAAGGTAGAATTAGACCAGAGTCTCAACTCTAGACCGTCCACTAAGCACTATATATATTCAAAATTTAAAACAAAAAGGAATTTGACTTGTGTCTATCAAGGATGTCTTGTGAGACAGTCATTCCCTATCACCAAACATGTTTTGGGGCAACTGTGCTATTATTAAACAAAACCCTCCAGACAAAATCCCAATACTACCAGCGTTTGCAAAATGCACTGTGCTGAAAAGTCCTCTGTCAAAAAAGGAGAGGGCCCCACGAGCCCCAGCACAGCCAGTGCCTCATTCAACAAGAGGATGGTGCTACAGGGTGCAGGTGTGGTGCTGTCAGGCTGCAATGCTGACCTGCTACCCTTCCTGCCTTCCAACACTTGTTTCATTATTTAACATTTGACCCAGAGGGACAAACTTCAGTGTTTTGTTATTTAAGCACTTATTACAAACTCAATGATGTCCATACCTGTTTTAGGGAGAATTCCCTCACTTCCCTGCCTTACTCTTTGGTCCTTTGTTGGAGTCTAACTATTGTGGCTATCTGCTGGTAGCCTACTTGTTTCAGCCCTTTGTCTCCAAATTTGTACACATGCTGTTTGCCAGCTTCCTAATCTGAGAGTGATTTCCAGGCTACTGAAGAGGAAAGGCAGGTTTAAGTACGCACATCTCATTTGTTCTGAAGAGAAAAATGACATGCCATTTGTTATCCAGATAAAAGACTAAATTAGCACATCTGTGAAATCCAATAAAATAAATTCCAGCTAGAACTGGCTCTAGATTTAATAGATTTGTTAATGTGCAGCACAGAGAGGGTAAAAAAGTCCCTTCTGGGACAATACCAAACACGTTCTATGAAGCCAACATTACACTAATACCAAAACCGAATAAGGACAACACAAAAAAGGAAAACTACAGGCCAATCTCCCTAATGAACACTGATGCAAAAATCCTCAATAAAATTTTAGCTATCAGAATCCAACAATGTATCCATAAGATAATTCACCACAACCAAGTAGGATTCATTCCAGGGACACAAGGATGGTTTAACATCAGAAAATCAATCAACGTTATCCAACACATCAACAAAAAGAAATATAAAAACCATATGATAATATCAATAGATGCTGAGAAAGCTTTCAACAAAGTGCAACACCCATTCATGATAAAAGCCCTTGAAATTCTTGGGAAACAAGGAACATACCTCAACATCATAAAGGCCATCTATGACAAGCCAACAGCCAGTATCATCCTCAATGATGAAAAGCTGAAAGCAATTCCATTAAGATCTGGAACAAGACAAGGATGTCCACTCTCACCACTGCTTTTCAATATAATACTGGAAGTCCTAGCCAGAGCAATAAGACAAGAGAAAGACATACAAGGAATCCAAATAGGAAAAGAAGAAGTCAAACTATCACTATTTGCAGATGATATGATAATATACATAGATAACCCCAAAAAGTCCACAGAAA